TTTTTTTTTTTAGAAAAAGTTTGGAAGATTATGCCTAAAATTTGCTTTCATTCATTTCAATAATCATATCTAAGAAATTAAATAAAAATTTGCTTTCATTCATTTCAATAATCATATCTAAGAAATTAAATAAAATCCTTACTGTATCACCTCACTATTTAATTAATTAATAGATTACTCCGATATCAAACAAAAAAAAAAAATTATTGCAATCTACATTTACTCTTCATGGATCAACGGTTTTAAAATATTTTTTTGAAATTCATTTAATAAATTTAAAATCGAAGATTTTCGTTAGTAATAAAAATTAGTGTCAATTAATTTAATACAGTTAAATCACGGAAATGATATATTTTTATCAAAAAATTTTTGAGAAAATATTTCATTACTATTCTTTCCCGATGTTGAAGAAAGTCAACATTCTATTGGATGCACAATTTCGGCTATTACTATTCGTTCATCTATTCATTCATTCATTCATTCGTTCATTCATTCATTCACTCCTCCATTCATTCATTCATTCATTTGTGGATTCATTTGTTCAACAAAATCATTATTTAAAGGTTTAAAGAAGGATAGAGAATCCGGCATCTGGTCTAAGAACTAGCCTATTCATCCAGATGACTAATAAATCCTCATTGTCACATCTATTTTTATGCGATATGAAACATCATGGATTATCATTAAAATAGTGACAATCATTTGCCAGTCTTACTTATCCTTTAAAAAATTGCCAAAAAAAAAATCCAATATTTTAACTTAATTGAAAATGTTCATTTCAATCCTCAATACTTCTATAAATTTCAATTCATTAACAGTTTGGTTGCGATATTTTTATTTGTAGGTGACAAGCCGTTTACTTGTACCCATCCTGGTTGCGATCGTAAATTCGCAAATAGTAGCGATCGGAAGAAACATATGCATGTCCATACGAATGATAAGCCATACGAATGCAAAATTAATGGATGTCGCAAATCGTACACACATCCATCTTCACTTCGAAAACATTTAAAGGTATCTTTCTTGGTTTTTATTTTTTAAATGTTTTATTTTGTTTTGCTAATCGATTTTTAGCTCCCTTCAGTCCAACAATTAACTTTCTGAAATCAAGTAATTGATATTAATATTCAAACTTTTATTCACTTTATAAGTAACGTTTTCAACTTTTTTGTTTTTGAAAATTTCACTTTTTTCAATAAAAAAATATTAATTTGAATTTGAAAGCTCACTCTATTAAATTCTTCAAGTTTTTTCATTCAAATTTAGTTGACAAAGAACTGATTGATCAATGAAATTTAGTTTTGTTACTATTTATTATTTTCTTATTTTAT